CCCTATGTTTGAGATGAGAGGAAATGGGAAGTTTTTTGCATCAATTAAATTATAAAATTTTAAAAACATTATAATTTAATTAATTAAAAAAAATTTTCCTTCATTCTCCTTTTTTTCTCTTTTTTTCATTTCCTTCTATCTAAATATATTATTAGGCATTAACTGATAAATTTAGTAGTTTAAATATTTTTTTTAGGTAACTCAAACAATTACCAAAAAAAGAAAACCTCACAATTGCATGTGGCAATCAGTTAATTGGCTGTGTTTTGTAAAACTGAGGCCTCGAATTATTACTGTTTATTTATAGGGGGCACAAGCCGGCATGCATCAAGCCCATGTTTCAAATTAGAGCTGCCTAGAGTCCTCACCTCATGCCGAGGTTGACTTTCAATTTATTCTAATTAACCAAAATATCCTCGTCTTGCCACATAGCCACATGCCACATCAATAGGGATAGTTTATTATTATTATTATTATTATTATTTAACAGAGAAAGGTAATTATTGGAATATATAATTAATCATTTTCTCTCCATTCATTTTTAATAGATTTAGGGTTTATTTGGTGTAATGGTTGAAATTTAGTAAATAACAATTATTGGGTAATGGGTACTAAATAGTAGTAGCAAATAACATGTGGCAAATAATGGAAAACATATAGTGAATAATAAATAGTAAATTTGATTAATATAATTATTTAATTATACGATAACTAATTGTTGTTATTTAAAATTAAATAATTGATAAAAATAATTAAGTATATTTCTTTTTTATATTTTATAATTAAAATTATTAATTTTATAATAATAATAATAAATAAATAAAATATAACAATATAATCACACACTAATTTTTATTTTTAATAAAAGAATTATATTAGTCTTAAATAAAATAAAAAATTTTAATATTTTCACCTAATTAACAAATTTTATTTCTAAAATTAATATATTTTTATGATAAATTAATATAAAAACAAAAATATAATAATTACTTAATATTGTTAGCGATAAAAAAATAAAGTTAAAACTAATTAAATAAATCTTAATTAAAAATCATGGCAAAAAATTAAAAATTTAAAAATGGTAAATTTATCGATAAAATTAAAAATTTTAATTTGTTATTGATTTAGTACAAAAAATTACCATATATAGTTTTTTTAATTCACTAATAGTTAATGTTCAAACTGCTATTCACTAATCCCAAACAGTTAAATAAAAAATTTTACTAAACGCTTAGTTTATAATGATTTCAAAATAAATAAATTTATCAAACACATACTTTTAATGATTTAGACAAAACCGCTAACTACTATTTCTAAACTGATATATCAAACAAGTCTTTAATTTAATTCTTTGATTTTTTATATATAAATTTTAAATAAAAATTTAATATATTAAATAAATTATAATTGAAATTTTGTTCCATCAAAAAAAAATATTCAACAAAAATTTTTTTTTAAAAAAAATTTCAATTGCTGTTTATACAAATGGTTAACTTTTTATTTAAATTTTATATTTTAAAATAAAAAAATAAATTAAATTTATTAAAAATAAGCAGATAAAAAATTAAAAAAATAAATGATAATATAATTTTATGCGAATCTCTAAACAGTATATGATTTGGACAGTGATGGAACGGGGAAGGAATCAAAGATAAAGAAAAGATGCTGATAAATGGGGACAATAATATCAGTAAACAGTACATGTCAGTCTCAATTTGAAATTAAAATTTTAATTTTAAAATGTATTTTTTTATTTAATTAAAATTTAATGTTTAATATAATTTATTTTTAAATTTAAATATTAATATTCAATACATTAAATTTTTAATTTTTAATATAATTTTTTTAAAAAATTTAAATATTAACATTTAATAAATTAAAATTTTAATTAAATAAAAAGACATTAAAATTTTAATTTTTTATAAAATTAAGATTAATATGCATTAAATTCATAATATAAACTTTGATATAGTATTTGAAAAAACAATGTGAATCATTTTTGGCAAGAGTGTCCCGTGATTTTGGGTGTTTTTCATAACTTACAAGAGGAGAACCTGTTTTAGCTCAAGCAGGGAAAGCTGACTCACACAAAATTCCAAACTTAATTACTGTAAAAATTCCTCAAATTAGTTAAATTTTTACTATATATATACTTCAATCAGTCTCTCTAAATTCTCCACACCCACACAGATTAAATATTCTCCCTTCTACTTTCTCTCAAGAGAGAGATGGACGCAAGGATTCGAATGGTAAGAGCAGCCATGAAAGGAGTACTCTTGGTCATCTCTCTTGGGATTCTTATGATGTGGGTCATAATGCCTACACAGACTTACCGGGAAAAATGGCGTATTAAAATAAACCAAAAGGTCTATTCCACGTACCTTGGCACCTCAGGTTTGTTAATAAATTTCCTAATTTCATCTCTTTTTAGTCCTTTCTCTTATAAATTTGTGTGAGCTTATACATGTCTTTTAATAACTAAGTTGATTTGTTAATTTCTCAGGCTCAAACATTCTGATTTGGACATTTCCGATGCTCTTCATCTCCGTTTTGGGCTCTTTATACCTCCATTTGGGGAAGAAACTCACCAAGAATGATGTATCTCAAAGGTAGCAAATTCCTTCGGTATACCATCCTAATATTCTTTTTGTTTCGACAGATATCGAGTAATCTTTCCTCCTAGCTGTTACGATTCAGATTCAATTATAAATGTATATAATTTTCTTCTGTTCCTTTGAAGTTCTCAATAATATTAGGGTATCTTACTTTTTTTTTTTCCCTAAACAGTAGTGACGACGGCGAGGGTCATCGGCGGGCAGTGACATGGAAGAAGCCGGTTTTGGTGAAAGGTCCTGTAGGAATCGTTACTGCCACAGAACTGGCGTTCTTGATAATGTTCACTGCTCTCCTTGTGTGGTCTTTATCAACTGAACTCCGCAGGGGTTTTGCCAACATCACACCATTTGCACAACAAGGAGAAAGAACGTAAGTTGAATCGGAGGATGTTGAATCGAGTGTTATATTAGAGGATGTATGAATAATTTCACTTCTTTATATGATCCACAATTATTGCTACTACATGCACTTTTTTTTTGTTTGTTTTTTTAAAAGTTTTTTTCTAGCTAATGGTTTAATCATGGTGTTTGGACAGATGGGTAGTAAAGTTGAAAATAACAGCATTCTATCTGGGAATAGTGGGGAACATTTGTTTGGCATTTCTTTTCTTCCCAGTGACTCGTGGATCGTCAGTGCTGCCGCTGCTTGGACTCACGCCGGAGGGAAGCATTAAGTACCATATATGGTTGGGGCACATGGTTATGGCTCTCTTCACGGCTCATGGCTTTGGTTACATCCTTGTTTGGAGCATCGATCATCAATTTTCCGAGGTATAAAATAACTTCTTATAATCAATTAATGCTTTAATTACATATATATTTTTTCATATATAATAACTTCCTCTAAATTTTTTTTTCTAGTATTATTTCATGATTTTCATCTAACTGTTTGTCCATATTCAATGATTAATAGTTATTATTTAGTATTATATTATACTTAAACACATTTAAATTGTGTTTAGTTTAGTTAATTCTATTAATTTATAATTTTTTTTATTTGACTATTATTTGAGATATCTGAAAAGACACATAATATAAAAATAATTTTAAACTTATATAAATTGTTATGTAGCTAAACAGAATTTTATTCATTTAATTTAAGGAAATAATTACTGTATATAAAGGTTAGTTTAGTTGAATTTATATCCAGTAACTTATAAAGCTTGATTCTAGCCACTGATTTAGCGTCAAAATCAATACTTTATACTTAAAAAAAAGGCAAACTGAATTTTTTTGACCTAAAAAAAATGTTAGGTGTTGAAAGTGGTAAAAAAAGGACAAGGGATGAGTTGTCAACAACCACCGATGTGTGGCTGCAATTTTACAAGCCACCTGCATTCCACGTGCTTAAACATAAAAAAATTCACCGTTAACCAAAAAAAAAAAGGAGGGGTGGGGACTGTCTATCATTTTTAATATGGAATTTAGCTAAATTTGTTTTCTTTTGAAAATGATTATCAAAAATTACGTCACTGCTGCGGTGGCTATTTTGATGTACACCCATTTGCAAGTGTAAATGGGACGATTGGTTAGCTGCAGAGGTCCATAATGGGGGAGAGAGGGTTGAACCATTTTTCTTGGGAATCTGGGGATGGGTCAGCTTCTGGGGCCCTTTTGGTGATACCTTGAAGTGTCTAAATGTGGGGTAGTTTTTTTTTTCCTTTTTAAACAATATATAACTTTTAAAAATTTTTTTTTAAAGTATCAGTGAAATTCGTAATCTCGATTAACAAATTTAAACGCTTAAAGAATCAAAGCAAACCACTAACATACGAAAACAAAGTTCAAAATTTGGAGCAGTTTAACTTGAAAACAGAAGGGTCATTACTTGATTGTTACGACTGGTAAGAAAAAGGTGTCTGGTGGTACTGTAACTGATAACGAACTCTCAAGAAATGGTAAGTGTCTGAACACCATTTTGGTCCATCAAAGCAACTTGTAGGACCCATCACCAAGAAATATATGTCAACCCAATTCTAAGGGAACTATCAACGGATTCAACACACAATCTTTGATTTTTTCCCTATCACCATTCGTGTCAAGACTGTTTTCCACCCACTCAACATTATCACATTCACATCAAAATTATTATATGAGTACGTAACTGTAGTTTTGGCTGCACTTTAATTAAAGTGTAAACCCATGATTAATGTTATGGTTTGATTCTCATTCATCATAAAAAATTTACCGCCAACCAGGCATGTGGTCCAATTGGTTGGCCCCTAGTTTTAGGGTTTGAGTGAGGCGGAGGTCAGGGTTTTGAGCTCTGCCACCGCCGTGAACTTCACCAACTTACGATCCATTGGTGGCGCGCCTCAAATGAGGGGTAGAACGTTCACTTTCTTAGAAAAATTCCAACCGCTAACAAACTAACTCTATTAACTTCCTAACCATCTACTTGGTCAAAAAAAAAAAATCATAAAAAATTTACCTTTTGCTATATTTTTTTATTGTGATAATTTGTATTAAAATTATATTAAAATAATATTTGTGATATTTAATTTACATTGAAAAAAAACATCGCTGAGGGTTTTATTTTCTAAGTGATTTCACCATGTTCAAAAAATAAGATTAATATAATAATAATGTGAGTGATTTCATTCAATGCAGATGATACAATGGAAAATGACTGGGATATCCAACCTGGCTGGAGAGATATCTTTGTTGGGCGGACTAGGTCTCTGGATCACAACGCTCCCTCGCATCCGCAGAAAAGCCTTCGAGCTCTTCTTCTACACACATTACCTCTACATAATATTCGTCATCTTCTTCATCCTTCATGTGGGAATCAATTACTCCTTCATCATGCTCCCTGGCTTTTACCTTTTCGTCATCGACCGTTACTTAAGACTCTTACAGTCCCAACAGAAAGTTCGTTTAGTCTCTGCTCGAGTTTTACCATGCAACACTCTTGAACTTAATTTCTCCAAAAGCCCAGGTGTTTTTAACTTTCATATAAAAAACCATGCACTGTTTATATTGGGTTATTTTTCAAGGTAGAACTGAATTAATTTTTTGTCTTGGTTAAATTAGATTTGAGCTATAATCCTACCAGCATTTTCTTTGTAAACGTGCCTAGAATTTCTGGGCTGCAATGGCATCCCTTCACAATTTCTTCAAGCAGTAATTTGGAGCCAGATAGTATAAGTGTGTTGATCAAAACTGAAGGAAGTTGGTCAAGGAAGCTCTATGACATGGTTTCATCTCCTTCCATTGATCGTCTTGAAATCGCCCTTGAAGGACCTTATGGACCTGCCTCAACTCATTTCCTAAGGTCCGCTCTTCGTATTAGAAACTAATATTATTTCTGACATAAATTTAACCTTAAATCATGGTAAGCTCGACTTTATACTATTGTTTTTGTAGGCATGATAAGCTGGTAATGGTGAGCGGAGGCAGTGGAATTACTCCCTTTATATCCATAATTCGGGAGCTCCTCCACCTGAGCAAAACATCTAAATGCAGGATTCCTAAACTTGTGCTTATATGTGCCTTCAAGAAGTCATCTGATCTCACCTGGTTAGACCTCATCATGCCAATTTCCGACACCACATCTGGGCTTTCCAATCTTCCGCTGCAGATTGAAGCCTACATAACTAGGGACAAAGCACGCTCAACAGATAATTCGAAGAAGGTTCATTCCGTTTGGTTCAAGCCCCTACCAACAGACGAACCCGTTTCTGCCATTCTGGGCCCCAACAGCTGGCTCTGGCTTGCCGCCATAATCTCATCCTCGTTCATCATCTTCCTCATCTTGATTGGGATCATCACAAAATACTACATTTACCCAATTGACAGGAACAAGAATCTATACAGTTACTTCGCAAAAGCTTCTCTTTATATGCTGTTTATCTGTGCTTCCATTACCGCAACAGCAAGTGCGGCAGTTTTTCTAAACAGGAGAAAGATCATGAGAGAAACAAGGCAGATTCAGAACACGGAAGGACCAATGCAAGCTGGGACACAGGAGAAATGGTTCCATAATGCTAATAGAGAACTGGAAAGTCTCCCACAACAATATATTCTGGATGCTACCAATGTTCACTACGGAAAGAGACCTAACCTAAAGAGTAAGTTGGTATTTCGTAAGGATTGTTATCTTAATTTTGTGGCATACTACATCTGAAGTTCTAAAATTTTCCCTTTGTTGTGTGAAGAGATTCTGCCTGAGTGTGAAGGATCGAGTGTTGGAGTTCTTGTTTCTGGACCAACGAAGATGAGACATGAAGTGGCGACGATCTGTTCATCTGGGCTGCTCAATAATTTCCATTTTGAGTCTATCAGTTTCAACTGGTGAAAAGTGCTTTAATATTTCAGTATAAAATCAACAATGGAATGCAGAATGACTGTAGAATAAAGGGGAAACTTACATTTTAGTTAATTGTGGTGTCCGGTTAGCGTACTCAATTTTAAAATGTGTACATAATATACTCGTGATTTAATGTAAATACGTGTAAAGATTTAATATTTTAAAATGTATTTATATATACCTAAGATTTATATTAAGTCCACATAAATACCTAATATTTGTATTAATTGCACGTAATCACCTGAAGCAAGGTGCACATTGTAGTTGATGTAGCAGCATGTGAAGAAGATGAAGTCATAGAATTGTGGTGAAATTAATTTACATAGTGGCATGTTTTGAAAATTTGAAGAAATGTTAGGGCCAAATTAGGAAGTGCATCATTTTTGTAATGAAGTGTAAAGGGGAACCCACTCTCAATGCCACATTGGCAAAAGTGGGGAAAGAAGTTAAAGTTTCACGCCAGCAACCATTTAATTTATTGAAGGGAACACTTTATCTCATTTATCACGATTGACAATGCAAAAGAGCAATTGCTTTTGCTTTTTTTAAGAGATAGATATGCCCTATTCTTATTTGGAGGCAGATTTGAGCGTTTCGCCCGATGAGACTGATACTTATCATTATTAGGTCAACAAGCAATATGAAAGAAAATTTTGCACCAGACCCTTCTGGTTAACTGGTAATATGCCAGTTTGAGATGTTTTTTTTTTTTTTTTTCCATGAATCGGCTTTGAACCCGCATTGACAATTTGTTCAAAAAAAAATATGGAAGAAAATTTTATTTTGATTTATCACTCTTTTAAATTTTAAAAAAAAAATTTAATAAAAATATAATTCTGATAATAATTGAAACAATTATAATGTAAGTCATATCTTGCCACGTAGATCCCATAGGAAATAACAAACATTAGGAATGACATATGATACTAACATATAAAATTAAGTATTCTTTACAAACAAGAGAATTAAGAATTAGAAACTTTTAAATACTAGTATATATCATGAATGTATTAATAGAGTTATGTAACAATATAAAAAGATTATTTTGTGACTAATTGTTGTTGCTAGTAATTACATCTATTTTACTATCCAATTTTAGCACAGGAGATTAAAGAACATGGCGATGTATTGTCTCTTGGTATTACAATGCTCTGTCCATGCTTAGATGATCTACTAAGCAATAGATGGATCAAAAACATTCACTTTCATGGCCATTACATTACCTAGATCATCAAACCTCACTTAAGGTGCCCTCCCATATTCAGTTGCATAAGTTTCTTACTTTTTGGCCTCGGACTTGTTTGATATAGCGGTTAAAATTTAATGAATAGCAGGTAGTAGGTAGCAGATGACAGTAGCAAGTAGTAAGTAGCAGGTAGAGAGTGGCGGGTAACGGGTAG